CTGAAGCAAGCAGTTCATAGGAGGAAACCCACCAACATCACAGAGTTGAAGTGGTTCTGTACTGAGGAATGGGCTAAAATTCCTACAAGCCGTTGTGCAGGACTGATCAGCAGTTACAAGAAACGTTACCTGCAGTTACTGCAGCAAAATTGGGTCACACCAGATACTGAAAGCAAAGATTCACATACTTTTGCACCGCAGAGTTATTTAACAATGGATAATTTTTCTCAATAAATAAATGACAAAGAATTTTATAGAGTAATCAGTATTGGTATCCTTGGTATGCCATTAATCAAATATTTAAAAATGATGTCTTTATGTTGTTTGTACATTAATTTGAAGATTGAATGTGAAATTATTGCAATATAAAAGTATATTTAATAACTTCGATGGGATTAATCATGATTAATAGGTGGCGGAGCGCGTGGTGATTGACCGTATCCTCCGAGCCCTTCCCCGATCCCACCGACAGGCAGTGGGGATGAGGAACCCAACCACCACCTCCGAGCTGGTGGAGGCTGTCGAGCTGGCGGATGCGGCCCAACACCGGGATGGCCCAGGAGGGCACCCCGCGACCAGTAGGCAGGCCGGTGGCTCCCTCTCCGCGGGATGAGCCCATGCCAACGGAAGTCCCCGCACGATGCTGAAGTTGGGGGTGATAGAACCATCACGCAGCCCATGGGCCAGCCCCATCGTGATGGTCCCGAAACCGGACGGCACCCTCCGTTTCTGCAACGACTTACGTCGCCTCAATGAGGTATCCGAGTTTGACGGATACCCCATGCCTCGGGTGGATGAACTGTTGGACCGGCTGACTGTATATATATTGAGAATAATTGAGAATATCTATATTTACACTGAGGTGACACTCTCGGGTTTATGGTTGACAAGTTGGGACGACACCTTTTTACACACAGAGACTGCTAAGTCAATTTAACCGGCAAAGCTTTAGCTAGTTTTCCATCCAAGAATTTTTCATCTAAATGTTTAGCTGATGGAAATGCCATGTATCGATACAACTTCTCAAGTGTTGATGACTCAACGATGATTTAAAATCAAGACTTCACACTGACAAGGTCAACATACTGGTTAATAACTGTACCTGGTTAACACAAAAAAGTTGCCATTAAAATTTATATAATCTGTGCACTTTTAGTTAAGAAAAAGAATATAACATCCACATACAGTATGTGAAACAATTAGGGATATCAATTTCAGTTAAAATAAACCTGAACACTGTGGAGATTATTGAAACCCCAGATCGTCTTTTGCCTTTTCTTTAGAAATATTTTTTACCAATAAACCCCTCCATCAGAAAACAAGACAAAAACATCGAAAACTACCAGCATAAGAATGTCTGAGTAACTGCATATAAGGTTTTGGCCGTTTTCTGTTAAATCACGACTTTTACAAGAACCAGCAGTTCAAACAGAGGGGGAGTAGAGTGTGAAACTGTGAGGTGCAAAAGAGAATCCCCATTTCACTTCAACACAGGTTACTTTCAGTTCACCTGTATTCTCTTTTGCGTCAGTTAAGAGAACACTTTAGACCACTTCTGTGAGAGAGAATACTTTAGACCACTTCTGTGAGACTGTGATCTGGAGGCTTGCCAATAGCTATACTGCCCTCTACTGGCAAATATCCATTGTCCACCCATCCAAAGGAAACTAGCCATGCAACTGCAGCAAATAATATAGTGGCAAAACTTAATCAAACAGATTTACAAAAGCAATAACTTAAAAGTTAATATGCACAGCTCTAAGCTTTAAATCAATGAAACAGACACTTACTGTTCATCTCCAACTTTCTTTATCCACTCCACATCACACTGTCCACATGTGGAACTCACATCCTGTGCAAAAGAGCAACATATCAGGCTTCATACTTTCTGTATATTACTTATATGCAATCAGAATTATATGTGAACCTACACACCTTTTTAAAAGTTTGGAGAATTTTAATGTTTTTGAAAGGTCTCAATGCTGCATTTATTTGACCAAACATTCAGTCAAGACACTAATATTATGAAATGATTACAATTTAAAACAACTATTTTAATATATTTTAGTAATTTATTCCTGTGATGGCAAAGCTGAATTTTCAGCAGCCATTACTTCAGTCTTCAGTGTCACATGATCCTTCAGAAATCATTCTTAAATTCTGATTTGGTGCTCAAAAAACAATTTGTATTGAAAAAAAATTGCCTTCATATTTTTGTGCAATTTAACACGTCCTTGCTAAAAAATGTAATTAATTTTAATACATTAATTTCAAGCTAGCTAACTACTAACTAACTCTTACAGACCCTAAACTTTTAAATCGTATATATGACTTGAAATCTTAAGGCAAGAAAAGTCAGGTCACTGCTGGATTTGAGACAAGATTTAAAGGCAAAATTCAGTTGCTATGCCATCAAAGTGAGAATATTTTTGAATGTTTCATTACTTATCACATTTTTTTCCTCTGAATCAGAGAATAGTTGAGACAAAACTGTCAGTTACAGTATATATCAGATTCTAAGATACCTGACTTCAGGCAAAAATAAATTTTGACTGTGTAGTTCCTATTTGAGTCTTCAAGCATGTGTGTGTTTGTTACTGACCCTCTGTCTCTGGTTGCTTTGCAATTCTCTCAGTTCTTCCCGTAACCTCTCACATTCAGCTTTTAGCTCCTCCTCCCTCTGACACGCCCCCTGAGCCTCGTGCCGTGCCCCCTCTAGCTCCGCCTCCAGACGCTGCAGTTTGAGGTCAGAGAGGGTGTCCAGACTTCGGGAGCTCTGTAGGGTCATGGGGCAGTCTAGCACTAGAGATATAGGATGGTTATTATGACCAGACAAGTCAAACACATTGCATCAATGAATAAAAATCAATGTTCATCCAGCTAGGATAGCAGAATTGCACATTAAAAGGTTAAAATGAACTCCCTACCTTTTTAAAGTTTAAGTGGAGACAGAAATAAATTGACTATAATGTTAGAGGAATATCAATATATTTCTGGTGTTCCTTAAACATCCTGTCATATGAGGCTGCAGACAAATTGTCCAACAGCATGTCTTTGAAGCAACAGATCTGATCTCATCTGTCACTCAAAACAGACCAACAAATACCTCATTTGTGTTTCTTTATGTGTTATGTAATGGGAAATTCTCTCCTTCATCAGCCAAAGGGAACAGACGCCAAATTACAAATGTCTGGACAGGAGGTTTGGTGGCCGCCTCGGGGGCCAACATTGTTAACAGGGCAGAAATACAACCTAAAGTCCCCCTACACACGTCCTTTACTCCATGTAGCTTGAAGATGGAGAATGCAAGGCTGAACTCCTTCCTGTCAGAGTGTCCTGCTCCTCACCCCCGGCGTGGGCATGGTGATTCAGCAGCTCATAGAAAAGCCGTCCTTGAGCCAGCAGCTATTGTGACAGTTCAGCAATAAGCAAGCTGAAAACACACACCCCTGCACGCCTACATCTCGCACCAAAACCGCAGTGAAATTATTTTTATTCTTTTTTTTTCATATTTGCATGTAATATTTGTATTCATGAGCACACACAAAATTGACATCATTCTTGTATTATTTTCTGACAGGGTTACAGAACATCTCTGTTGCGTAATTTACATAAATACATAATTTGCTTGAGTTCTCTGGGATTATTTGACTCCTGTTGAGCGCCTTTGAATTTGAAACATTTTAGATCCCGGAAAGGGGTCACAGGAGAAAACGTGTGACCTTCTTCTCGCAAATATGCTTTCCATTGAGTTACATAGTCTCTTTGCGGTGAGAGTCTTTTCTGAGCCTCAGAGACAGTGAAAGGAAAGAGAGAAAGGAAGTGGGAAATGGGGTAAAATGAGAGAGAGATGCAACACAACACTGTCATCAGGGGAAAAACAAAGAGGACCAAAAGGACAAGAGGACCGCCGCTTGGCCCTGTTTGAAGTCCTTCATAGGAGAGGTGCTCTTTGAAAAAACTAAATTAGGCTAGATTGAAAACTAGATAGAAAATGTGATGCATATATATAATGAAAAAGGACACTTCAAAGACCCCAATACACAATCTGTTGTTGGAGTGGAATACAAATGAAGCAGGCACATAAAATGACAAATAATGAACGTGATTGTATGCTAATAAACAACCTGATATATATTTGTGTGTGTATATCTCATTCGGTGTTGCAGAGTTTTCTTTTTCCCAAACATGCTAGTTAATGCTATTAGACTAAAACCTACTGACTTTGCTCATACAGGATATAAATTTTTCCCACCTTGTTACACTTGTGGTGTTTCCAGTTAAAACTTACCAGCCTAAACATTGCTTATAAATTTCCCATTTTACTATATATTTATATATACAATACACAGTAATGTAAAGTACAATTGCCTTGCATAATATTATGCAAGGTAATTCAAAATGCTTTACACTGGTAGGCTACATCCAAACAAAAAGGCTATTTTTTTAATCTGGGGCATACACTCTGAGATTTTTGTTTGTTTTTGAGTTGATTTCTAAGTCATATGACTCTATTTTTTTTTCCTTGGGCCAAATTTAATCTTTGTGGTGCGCTGTTTGTTGTGCAGTGTATATGGTGTAACGAGAATATTAACCTCACCCGACTGTCAATTGGATATATAAATTACTGACATGTCCCATGTTTATTTCACATGTACAGTATGTGTACAACTCTAAACTATTTAGTTTTTTTTTATTAGTCTGAACAGAAAATAAATGAAAACTTATGTTTACAACCCTAATCTAAATCATACCCATATGTGATATGTTATTTTTTTGTTTGTTTCATCTCAGTCTGAACAGACTTCAGATAGGTTTTTTTTTGTCATTCAGGACGTGAAACAACTGTAAGATCATATAAAGTGCAATATTGTCTGAATGCACTCACTTTTGTTTCACTCTGTCCTTGTATTGTGACCTATGTGACAATTACTGTGTCGTGAATGAGTCAGCGGTAATGGGTTTAGGCACACATCCGCAGGTTCTAGCTCACGGAGTGATTTATAAATGAACACCTGCATGCATACAGACAAAACAAGACTTACTATGCGAGTCAGGGCTGTGTAGTTGCAGATACTGTATATCTTTATTGTGTAGCTGTGTGTTGAGTTTGTGTAGTGAGCTCTCCCTCTGCCTCAGAGCCGCCTCTAAACTGTGGATCCGCTCAACATGTTTCTCCACCAGAGACGTCTGAGCCCGGAAAAGAGCGAGAGAAGAAAGAGACAAGAAGAGAGGGAGAGGGAAAGGGAAAGAGATGGGCACAAAAGTAAAAGATTATAAAAGATTAAAAATGAAACACCAAGAGAAAGTACAGAGAGTAAGGCAGGCGATGAGGGACTGATCAAAGGATATACAAGGGCAAAGAGGCCATTACTTCACCATGCAGATTCTTCCGGCATTCGGGTCCATGAGGAATTTTTGTCAGCAATAAAAGATGAGAACATGTAGATGTAACAGCTGATAGCTCGCTGAGTGTTTCAGAGAGGCGATCGGCACAGATGCTCAAACGCTTGCATCATGCAATTTTCAAAAACTCAATCTTTTTGTCCCAGCCAAATCCATTCGAAGCATTTGAGACCCGTGTTTAAAACTGAGGATGCAAATGCGCGTATATGATTACAGATATCCAGCATCATCCACTTATATGAGGGCTTGGCTGGGTAATATAAGAGCCCAATTACATTCACACAGCCCCGTTAGGACGTACGAGAGTACAAGATTAATCAAATAGACACCTGGTTGGATTAATGCCTGAAGCACATGGAGAGGCTAATTATCGCAACTGCCCATCCGCTCGGCAGCCAAACTTAACATGGATGTGGTGGAATTAATGTTTTAGGAGAGTTCTCACCATCTTGTCGAGGTCTCGCTGAAGGCTGGACTTCTCCATGTGGATTTTCTCATAGGCCTGAATGACATCTTCAAGCTGCTCCTCTCGCTCCTTGCTCTTCTGAAGCTGGAGAACACAAACACTCCTATCATTACAAGGACTTTCCTTTGGCTTAATGGCTTTATACACACCTGATGATATTTAAAAATCTTGAATTCTCACAGACATTCTTTGCATTTTTACATTTTACATTAGTGTGTATACGCTCTTGAATTACAATGACAGTTGGGATGTCTTCGAGCTGTATAATGACAAGCTGTTGTAACATTTGGCATTAGGCAGGTGTAATACAAAAATATATTAAAAACATTTGAATATACAGGTGCATCTCAATAAATTAGAATGTCGTGGAAAAGTTCATTTATTTCAGTAATTCAACTCAAATTGTGAAACTCGTGTATTAAATAAATTCAATGCACACAGACTGAAGTAGTTTAAGTCTTTGGTTCTTTTAATTGTGATGATTTTGGCTCACCACGACATTCTAATTTATTGAGATGCACCTGTATTTTTATATCATTTTGTGAGTTATTTCTTGTCACATTTCTTTTTACTGGCTTGTTTATTACCGTTATGGATTTTATATCTTTCCAGTACGCCAATTATATCAGTTCTGCTGATAGCTGTCTGGTTCTAGACATATGACCTAAATCTCAGTACTTTATTAACTCCTTTCAGTTGAGAAATATTGCCAAATTGAGAGGTTTCCGGACCCTTTAAAATATAATTACATAATAACAGGACTCAACTAAGGAAACATTTTTTTTTTCTTAGTCGGCCAGTAGTTCTGAGTGATCCATTTTTATTTTTAGCAATTTATTTTATATTTACTATAAATATTTTTTCAGCTATTTATACATGAATGAAAAATAACATGAGAAATTAATAAGAAATCAGGAATAAGAAATGAATATAAAATGATTTTTGAATAAAACATTTTTCTTTATAAACAGAAAATGTGCAATTATTATTGCAATTTCGATAAAACTTCCGATAACAAAGCTGGTTACAAATTAGCAACAGAAAACCAAACATTTATGTTAACAAGGCAATAAAAATGGACATTACAAGATCAACGAAATGTAAAAGTTGAGCGTCGAAAGGGCAAGTGACTGTTCTGTCAACTGTTCATGTTGCGTACAAGTTTCACCCTGTGACAAATTGCTTGTCTCTGGAAACCGACATGGTGTGAGAAAGAATAAAAACATTACGGTGTTCTGCCTGATATATAAAAATAATAAAGTCAAACAGATGCACTCATGTTGTTCCCTGCACTTTCATTTTAATACAGACACACATAAGCATCTACTTCAATTATAACACACTCTCTGCAGTGATCCTTTGACTTCACAGATAATAGTACCTTATTTTCAGAAAACAATAACACAGCAGGATATTTACTTTCAATAGCGCTGCATTAGATCTCAGCAAATGCTCATGACTGCAAAGCTCTGAGTGTTGGAAAAAAAAATTGAAGAATGAAACACAAGAAGACACAAATCGAGGAGGGCCACAGTCAAATGAGGAGGGGAAGAATAAGGAACGTACACACAAAGTACCAAACGTCAGCAAAAGTGAGGGAGGTGTGGGAGAGAGAGAAGAACAGATGACAAAGAGAAATCTGGCTCTTTGATGGAAGGAAGGCTGCTGGGTGGCTATGGAAACACATAGCAAGCATCATTAATTAATGAGACGCTTCGCCAGGCAATGAGCCGAGAGATGCAGAGAGAGAGTATGATCTTCCCATTTACACTCCACATCACAGCCAGTCAGGAGTGACGATTGAGAGCGGGCTTCAGGCACGCAAAAATGAACGCTTGTTTGTGGTCTAGATTACGTAAGGCCTTTTGTCATGAATGACTGGGCATCTGAAGTTGTCCTTCATTACCCTTCTAATCGTATTACCTCTCTAATCTTTCCATTTTGTGACGTGTAATCCAGATTTACAACACAATATAGCCAAGTCATAATATAACAAGCGGTTGTTTGAAATTAGCAGAACATCAGATGAAATACAGTTCAGAAAGAGGTGGGTGGGTGGGTGTATTTAGGTGTGTGTCCTCTCACCTCGAGGGTCAGGATGTTGACTCTCTGTTGCAGACTGCCATTCTCTGACTGGAGCAGCGCTGTGTCTTTGGGCTCAAAGGAGCAGTAGGAGTTCCTGTCATCTCCAAACTCGCTTATCATGGGGAACTGTACACACACATATGCAAAAAAGTGGCACAGGGGTCATCACAAGCACAAACTGCCATTGCATAGAATCATTCATGGGTATAATAAACATTGCACCATTTTTGGAGCAAAAAATGTCATATTTAATAACAGCCTGCAATCTGGTTTAACAGGGCACTGTCTGGACGGGTTTAAAACTGTGAGTATTTTAATGAAGTCATTGTCATTCTTTTTGGGCACAAATATGCAAATGAGGTCTACAGATTATTCACCAAATTCAGCACAATTAAAGTTGTACAGAAAGCAGTTGGTAAACAATTTTAAAACAGATGTTTGTGAAAAATCTCTAGCAATTCTAATCTGGAAAAAATGGTGTAGGATTTTCTTTTTCACTTAGAAATTGCTATTAAATTTCACAAATAATTATAATGAAACGGCAAGTAACACATTGAATTAAACATGACATTTTGAAGTATAAAGACCAAAAAAATATTTTTAGTATTTTCTTCTAAAATGTACTCCAATAATCTTTTATTTACAACTTCAAAAAAATCTTTTTTACAGTGTAAAATAATTGAGAAAGGCTTTATAATAGGGTATGTAAATCATGATACAATGTATAGTAAAATTCATTTTTTTTGCATTTTAAGGAGTGGTCAAGTTCCTGTCCTGTTACCCTCTCACATCCCCACTTTCCATTTTCCTATAAAAATAAAGTTAAAAAATAATACAATTAAATATAAAATTAAATCAAATTAAATGTACACTTTTATTCAAAAGTTCAGTTTTTCTCTTTTCTTTGCAAAAAAAGATTGCTTTTATTTAGTAAGGATGCATTAAATTGACATAATAGACATTATAATTTTACAAAATTTTAAATAAAGGCTGTTCTTTTGAACTTTCTATTTTTCAAATAATCCTTAAAAAAAATCACATTTTCAAAAGTGACACAAATGTTACCACCATTGATGATTATTAGAAATGTTTCCTGACCACCAAATCAGATTTCTGAAGGATCATGTGACACTGAAGACTGGAGTAATGACTGCTTTGTCATCACAGGAATAAATTACATTCAAAAGTTACTTTAAAATTTTATAAAATCACAGTATCACTGTATTTGGTGAGCGAAAAGCATTAAAAATCGTACTAACCACAAACTTTTGAACGATAGTGTATGGCAACAGTGAAAAAAAAAATGCTTCTGAAACAGGTTTTTGCCCTCAAATGACCTCCAGATGGGATAAAGTTAGTGAGCAATATATGAATAACCATTCAAAAACATATATACAGCCAGTATTTGTTATGTGTTTCAGGTAATTGCCAGAATATATATAGAATATATATTTATAAGTGCGACTTGGTGACTAAGTAATCGGAGGGGTTTATTAGTCAGTTGGTATCAAACAGTCCTTTCCATTTAGAGAGGTCTGCTCTTGTAGGCTACAAGTTCAGCTCCTACATCATCTTCTACTTCACTACTGACATCAATAGACGCTGTGTGCTTTGATGTGCAGGATCTCATATATTTTTACTCCTACGAGCTTTAAGAGCTGTGTGCATTAGTTCCCCACGTTTAGCCCTTTACTAGGCAGTGAGCCACACTGAACGCAGAACCCTGGAGGCGCTCTCTCTCGCCTTCTGCAAAAACAGCTGTTCTTCAGAGGCTAGCTGTCGTTGGTGCGTATACATGCATATGTTTGGGCAGAGCCAAACCAAAAAGCTTTAAAGAGATCCAATCTGCAGCTCCCCAGAGGCCTGGCAGCAGCCCAACCTACCTAGTTGTACTCAAAAATCACATCAAATGAACCAGCAGTTTTGTTAGTTTATTTGCATAGCGCTTTTCACAATATATATTGTTCCATCACGTCCAACATCAACCTATATTAATATATTTAAATATTTCTAATATTGGTAGATAATTTATATGATACCAAAATATCATGCATATAGTGTTTCATGCTCAATCATTGCTGTCAGCACTGATTATTTAAGTGAAAAGCTACTCAATCATGTTTAAAGATTAATAGAGACGTGATCTACTTTCCTAACAATCGTGTGATCTAAACAGCATCAGGAGCATTTTGTTTTGTGTGTATAAGTGGCTTTGTGAGTTTTCATGTGAGAGCCTGACATGATAATTATAGAGAGCATGCATACTTGTTTATGTACTGCTCAGCCCACATGCTAGCTGGGCTATAAATAAAGCTCTTTCATACATGAAGTAGGCACAGCTCTTAATGAGTGCTGTCCAGCCACAGTATTCAGCTGGTGAACACTCATAGATCACCATTTTTCACATGGAAACTGCAAAGAAACTCCATAATAGTTAAATAAAACATTTGGCCTTCACTCTTAAAAATAAAGGCGCTTAAAAGGTTCTTCACAGCGATGCCATAGAAGAACCATTTTTGGTTCCACAAAGAACCATTCAGTCAAAGGTTCTTTAAAGAACCATCTCTTTCTTACCTTTTTATAATCTGAAGAACCTTCTTTCGCCACAAAGAACCTTTTGTGAAACAGAAAGGTTCTTCAGATGTTAAAGGTTCTTCATAGAACCATTTAGACAAAAAAGGGTCTTCTATGGCATCGTGAAGCACCTTTATTTGGAGAGACGCACATGCTTCAGCGTGCTGCAACACGAAAAGCCCTTCTTGTGTTTCCATTAATAATGAATGAAAATAAATGAAGTGGATCAGCATATAGCTGCCATGAATGATGGGATGAATCGTGTCCCATGTGTAAGTCTTTTGTTGTAAATAGACACGTTCTGTAAAACCCTGTTTAGATATTTACTGTCATTGTAATGTATTTTCATGCGGCTGGTGTTCTAAATCTTGAGTGGAAGATATAAAGCATCATGTACTCCGTGCAACTGGAACATAATATTATTCGATATGAAATGCGATGGGAATTGCCTCATCGTGAATCTTGGATAGAGAGCATTTTCTCTCTTCACACTGCACTGCACCTTTGATGGAGTTAAACTCACAGCAAGTCATGATAGCAAAAACATAAGACGATATTTCCCATTACCTCTGACACATTTCAAATCTAGCGCTGAGCACAGTGGCCTGGTCTGATGCATCACGCTGATAGCTGGCTAACTAACCCTCCTATCAGATGC